CACTATACTATAATTTTGATATACTCGATCTTATTCAATTGACTTACATATAATTTTCTTTTTATTCCACAAGGCTTAAAAGAGAGCTGGTCATTGATAAACAAGGTTATCTAGCAGCACATGATGTTTTCACAAGCTTTATGAAGTCTTGTTCTAACCCAACCGTATCAAAGGTCCTTTTTGGAACACATCTAAAATTAATATTTCCTGGCATTACTTCTTCTGTAAAAAGAAAGGGTGAAAATACTGTAAGAATATATCGTGGCGTCTCATACCGGCACCAGCAACCAGAAGACGCGATTAGCCTGCATGACATTGCATTGCGAATGAAACCTTGTTGGCAAGTAGTCGCGAAAAATGACAGCAGTATCAAAATTACGTCTACTGTTGGTATTATCAACCAGCAGAGAGTTGTTAAAGAATTAGAAGTGTATAGAAATGGTCACTGGAATTTAAGTTTGGGAGTCGTCTGTGTGCTGACTAGTGGCCAAACGAGTCTGCTGTCACCTGAGGATGGCATGTTTCGTGTCCAGGATGTGGACAACCTACTCCGCATGGTTGATAATGCAGAAATGTGCAAAGGATTGCCATTGGGAGTGTCAACTACAGGCCGACAGCCAGGTGCTCATACCTTGCTTTGACTTAATTTACTTTATGGATTTTACTTTTCAATACAATTATTTTGAGAAGTAATTACACTGGAGTGCTCTGTGTTGTGTGCAGTATTCGAGGTGCAGTGAAATTCAAATTTTGCGTGCGCTGATTTAACGAGAATTCGAATATAAAGTGATATAGACATTTTTTTGCTCTTTCAAAAACTAGAAAATATTTTGGTGAGTTAAACCGGCCTTAGTCTCTATCGCTATCAATAGAACATAAACGTGCAAAAAACGGGTCAACTAGGGCAAAAATATGGGTGTTTTGGAATGTTAGGTCACCATTGGACTGGTTTATAGTACTCTGATTTTCTGCAACCCCGCTTTTTTCGCAATAACATTTCACGGACCTCAACGACTCCATTATAACGGGGCCATACTGTAAAGAGTCTTACAATAGCCCCTGGTTCTCGCTTGTATCTGTGGCGTTGCAGGAGGCCTGATAGACTCGCTGTGATTTGTCAGTCGCCTCGTCCGGAACCGGTCACGTAGCCACGGCCTATTATGCCCACGCATACACATACATTATTACATACATGTATATGTATATATATATATATATGTATATAAATATACATATAATAATATATATAACACGACTGTCATTAAGAGTATACCTGTTGCTGTTAGACTACATTAATGGTAGAACCTATTTGTAATTGAGCTAAGCATCGAACTGGATTAAATGGTACACTATAAGGTCCAGTACCAACAGGCCAACTCTGGCTTTTCACCAATGACTGTGGCAAACGTCCTAACAGAAGTAAAGTAACGTAAAAGTTCACTAGTATTGGTATGACTGATAATGTCAGAGGGAAAACACAATAGAGATATATATCAATTATATACTGATATAAATAATGTCCAATATAAATAAATTGGTAGAAGTCCACAATTACAGGTATTTTATGATTGATGGTCTTCTGGGAAAAAAAGTTTTGTACTGTAATACTAATAGCATTTAGCAGGAAGCTATGTATCATTATGGTCACATGTCAACTTGACCGGCCAACAAACCCGCCCAGTGTGGCGAGCTCACTCGTCTCGAGGTGGGACAGCTCATCTCGGAGGTCGAAATTACCCTCCTGGAGATCGGCCAGCTCGACTCGCCAGGCTAACACGTGGATGGATGGATGAATAGCTAGATAGCCAGTCTGACAGACAGACAGATAGATAGATAGATAGATAGATAGATAGATGTATAGGTAGAAACTTAAACAATTCGATCAATCTAGCTATACACATTTCCAAACGGTCAATGGATAGATGGAGTCGAGCTGCCCGATCTCCAGGAGGGTAATTTCGACCTACGAGATGAGCTGTCCCACCTCCAGACGAGTGAGCTCGCCATAAAGCTGGCCGAGTTGATGCGTGGGTCGATTGACCGGTGCCCTATCATTATATCAGGCATGAGACATGAGGCAGATTTCAGGCCATTTTAGAACTCCAGAGACCATTTCTGAGATCAGTGTAGATTCGATGAGAATTTTTTTTTTTGGGGGGAGGTAAGAATACCTTCGTGGTCTCTGACGATCGCGTACATGTGAACACACTGTGACTCGGTAACTATCCGGAGCGCTTCTACTCGTATCATTGTCTTAATGTATGCTTGGTAACATAATGATAAAAGCAGGGTACGGCCAAACTTTAGTTGCCATTCAAGAAACGTGCGTGGGATGTTCGGACGCACAGGTTAGCACAGGTTCCTGAATCCAGTAGCAGCGTTGGCATACCAAAAATCGATAAGATGTGGGTGGAGCTTACTTTTGGCCAACTAGGTAGTGAACCTTACATTCAAACTCCACGACAGATGGCGCCCTCGCTCATGGGCTCAATCTACTGATATGCGTACTATCTCGTATCCTGAGTGTACGAAGGTGCACTGCATGCAGTTTGCCTTACATTGTGTTGGCCAGGGTTTATTTACGTGCACGGGTCGAGCAGCACGCTCACTGTTCACGTGCGCTAGGTTGTGGAATAATTCGCACATCCCCGCGCATTTCACGTTTGGATGTAAACAATAAAGTATCACTGCTAGTTAACAAACGATCAGTATACTGTTTTAAAATAATATTAAGAAGATTTAGGTAATATATCATGTTGAATTATACAGTAAATAATAATAATTGTCTCAAGTTTTAACACACATAAGTCACTGTAGCTGCAAAGCACGTCGTATTACTTACTAGTCATGCAAACAGCAGTACAGCCTCGTCACACCACTTAGGTTTAACCGTTTTTGTTGGGTCATATTGTTTTTAAAGTTTGGAAAAACTATATACATTTTATACAGGGTGTAGCTAAATAAAAGCTTCCCTACGTAATAGCTTGTATGTCTACAAAATACATTTACTTTGGACACACTCAACACAGATGGAATTCCCCAGTGCCCATCAAAATTTTACAGTAGGTAAATTTTACATAATTTTTTCCTTTTCCACCAAAAAGTGTTGCTAGTTGTAAGCTATTGGAGTACCCTGAAATGGCTCTAGATTGCATCTCAGAGCTTATAATTTTCAAAAATTTTCTGGGGGCGCATGCCCCAAACCCCCTATAGAAGTTCCCCCCCTTCACCCCCCCTCCTTTTTCCCTTTTCAGCATTTGTCTGTTATATGCGTTTTTTGTAAATTATATAATTCATTTATTTTTAGCTCATCTGACGTAGTCAGATGCAGCTTGTAGAATCGCATGAGCGTGCGTCCGTCCGTCCGTGCGTCCGTCCGTCCGTGCGTCCGGCCGTCCGTCTGTGCGTCAACAGTTGGGCACAAATCTTAACCGCTCGACGTACGGTCACGATATTCGGGACATGGGGGGGTAATCCGAAAACGAGTTGGGATGTCGAAGCTGGGAATCAAAGGTCAAAGGTCAAGAGGTGTAAAAGAAGGAGGAACATTCCCTCCTTAACTTAAGGTATAGGGAGGAAATGCAGAATTGCCGCACAAATCTAAACGGCTCGACCTAGGCTCGTGATAGTCGGTGTATAGCATCATGGTAGGAAAAGCCATCACTGTGCCGAAATTGGAGGTCGCAGGTCAAAGGTCAATGGGCACAGGGCAGATTTTAGACATTTTCTGAGGACATGGTCTGACGGAGCGATTGGAAAACTTTTTTGTTTCAGTGGTGACCTACCATTTTTATGGCTTTATTGAAAGGACCATGAAATTGAAATGTGCTTTCCACTGACGTGCGAAGAGTAAGTGTCTGATAACCTTTTGACCCTGAAAGGGAGGGTTCAACATGGATTTGTTGACTGTTAACAAAGGACTGTCAAACTGCTTTTGCTATTATTAGACCCCATACCTGTGTGGATGTGAGGCTACATTTGCAGTTCAATTGCAAAGACAAAAGTTTGTTGAACAAGGTTTACACTCCTTAAATCATATTATTTTCTAAAGCAGTCTGTATATTAATAGCACCCTGAATGCTAGCGTGGCTACCGGCATCCGAAATGTAGGTAAAACCCCGGGGGCAATCCATTACTGATGCATGGGGGTGAACTGGCACTTTTCTAATAAACATGCACACCTGCAATGCAGATGTGTTTAATTTATTACTCACAGCTGAGCCAAATTGTCGCCTACCTGAATATACTTGGATTTTAGCCTGTACATTTCAGCAACTCAATGGAATTAGGTTATCTCTACTTTCTTGACTTATATCACCAATGCACGAAGGTCAATGCCATGTTTGATTATTGATTACACTTGCACGCGCCATCTCGCGGCAACTATAGGCCTAGTGATACATTATTACACGAATATATATGACAGTCGAGCAGGCATGAAGTAGGAGGCATTGTTAGGGTTTAGTTTTAGTGTTAATACCTATGCTACACAGTTTTGATGATGACGTAGCCGGTTTAGCGATAGAACAGGCTTTCAACCTGTTGCAGAAACGAAAGCCAGTACAGTAGAGCAGCAGATGAGCCCTGTCGCTGTTGCGGCACTAGTTAGTATTTCTGCATCACGAATTGAACCAGTAGTAGCCACTGGTGTATTGCTATCTTATAGCATTACTAGAAATCTGCATGACCTTCAATCAAAAAGATAATATATAACCATGCAATGAGATCCTCTTCTTTAATAGCATTTGTGTCCAGAATTGTGAAAATGTATAGTGGCATGTGAAAACATGCGTGTTGTGCATGCAAAGTAATGTTAATAAAATAAAATAATGCGTTGTAACTAAGACTATATAACGCCTTCAGACATGAAGATAAAATATAATTGGAATGTTTAAAACTCAATTTCACACAAGGATAGGATGATATTTCTAGTGTGTTACTTGTGTTTCTTCATCTATCCATGTGGCAGGTATGTCATTTATGTGATGAAGTACAGAACATTTAGATAAGAGTACTTAGAACTTAGAAGTATGTGCATATATGTTTAGCTATCATAACTTTCCTTATGTATGTAGGGTTGAGAGCTGGGAGACACTGATGATGAGTGCTTTGGCCAGGCCGATTACGTTTGCAGTGATGCGTGCAATGAAAATAGCTGCTGCCACTTCAATTGCTCGAAGAAGTCTACGGCATCCAGAATGCCTGACCGTCTCGACAATTCTTCGAATGATGTCATCTTCAGTCCAGTCCCAGCAGAAGTCATCAACCAAACTGGTAAACCAGTTTTATACAGTATTAATTGTCATAGAAAATCCCAGTAATAGTGACGCACGTTCATCTAAGATGGAATGCAGAATCATTGGAAAAACTTCCATATACATCACACATGATTGCATAATCATTCTGTGTAAAAAAGGTAAAAAATTATTACTTAAATATTCTACCTGATAGCATGGATTCAGTATTAAAACATAATTTGTTGTTAATGTAGATGACATTAGACTAAAACCTAAAATTTAGATTGGATGCAGTGCTGATTGAATAATATCTTGCAGCTAGATTGTAGCATGGATACAATTACACATTACATGACCTTTTAGTGCAGAGAAGATGTCACTTCTAGATAAAATCTGAGTGATACTATTATCTATAAGCATTGATATTGTTTGGGTGTAGGTTCATCTGGAAGAGGATTCACAGTCATCACGGATCCGTAACATTGGAATCATGGCTCACATAGATGCTGGAAAAACTACGACTACTGAGCGCATGCTGTACTACTCTGGATATACGAAGTTTATGGGTAATAATCAGACCTGCACGTATATGAGATCAAATCATGGTAACAGATAACGGAAGCGAGCACATATTTATTGCTGTTAAATTCAATTTTGGGAAACGTAGACATAAAAAAGTAAAAGCATGTATATCTATCTCTAAGGTGAAGTGGACCATGGTGACACAGTGATGGACTACATGAGCCAGGAGAGACAGCGAGGAATAACAATCACCTCAGCTGCAATCACGCTATTCTGGAAAAAACACAGAGTCAATGTTATTGACACACCAGGTGATTACAATTATAAAGTTTATGGCATGCATTTATGTCAAAAATCACCAAAATATTTTCAGTTGATGTGCCAGTATGTGTATTAAGATGGACTACCTATATGCGTTTGCTGATATAAGTTTTTTTCAACACGATATGATATTTAATATTGAGAAATTTCACGTTTAAACATCACGTGTAAATCAGAGCAGCTGACCCTCAGCTATATTGCAATTTTGTTTGTAGACATATTTACTAATAAATCTATTATACAAATAGGCATATGTCAACATCCTAATGATTGCTTCGCTTTACAACACTGCAGGTCATGTTGATTTTACGCTTGAAGTAGAGCGTTCTCTGAGGGTGCTGGATGGTGCTATAGCCATTTTGGATGGTTCAGCTGGTGTGGAAGCGCAAACTCTAACTGTCTGGAAACAGGCAAACAGGTATTGTGGGCAGAGGTAGAGTGCAGAGTGCAGAGCCCTAGGAAATTTATATGCAATGTACAGGCACACAATTTATCCCAATTGTTACCTATACTTGCCATATAAGTTGACCCCTTCTTTGAACTTGATAATACGTTCTTGAGATCCTTGACTGATGATATTTCGATACCAGTAGAGTAAAGATTCAATAATACTTTTATGAGATTAGCAATTATTAATGCAGCTCAGTCTCTTCGATCTTGTGTTTAAAGGTACGGAATACCCCGCATTATATTCCTGAACAAGATGGATAAGAATAATGCGGATGTTAATCCATGCCTTCAATCACTCAAGGACAAGCTAAACTGTGTTCCCATACAAACCCAACTTCCCATTGGGAAGGGTAAAAACTTCCAAGGTGTTGTTGATCTCGTCTCCATGGTAGCATATAAATGGGAAGCCGGGAGTTCAGACGATGGACAAAGCTACATGCAGAGAAATTTGATGCCAAAATCTGGAGAGCTATTTGATAACGCGTTGGACGCAAGGAACAAGATGGTGGAATGTATAGCTGATCTTGATGATGGCATTGCAGAGCTATTACTTTCCCGCGAGGATGCGAACAAGATCAGTGCAGAAGAACTGGAGTCGGGAATGCGTAGGCTAACTCTTGCCAATAAAGGTTTTCTCGTCTTTCTAGGAAGTTCGTTCAAGAAGAAAGGTGTTCAGATGCTGCTGGACGCTGTTGTCAAGTATTTACCTTCTCCATTAGACAGAGACTACTCCTTTGCAAAGCATTATGAAGGAAACCTGTGTGCGCTTGCTTTTAAAATTGCCTACGACAAACAGAGAGGACTACTCTCATATGTCAGAGTATACTCTGGATCCCTGGCGAGCAAAGCTGAGATCTACAACATGAACCGAGACTGCAGGGAACATGTGCAACGAGTTTACGAACCTTACGCCGACGACCTCAAGGAAGTGCCTGCGGTTGCCGAGGGAAACATCGCCGTGGTTACGGGCATGAAGCATACGGTAACAGGTGACACGCTCGTGACAAGTGCGGTCGTTGCCAAAGCGGCTCACAGGAAGGCTCAGGTGAAAAACAAAGATGCCAGCTTGTCGTCGGTGCTGCCCGGCATGAACGTGCCCGATCCCGTGTTCTTTTGCACCATCGAGCCTGCATCTCTCTCACACCAGAAGCCTCTCGAGGTTGCTCTCGAACATCTCCAGAAGGAGGACCCAAGCCTTCACGTAACGATCGATGCGGATACGGGCCAGACCGTCCTCTCGGGAATGGGCGAGCTCCATCTGGACATCATCATTGACAGGATAAAGACGGAGTACAAGGTCGACTGCGACCTCGGTCCGCTGCAGGTCGCGTACCGGGAGACCGTCTTGACGGACGTGACGAAGACGCTGACGCTGGATCGCACTCTCGGCAATGTCCGACACCAGGTGTCGCTGACGCTGTCCTGCGTGCCGATGCCGGACGCGGGCGTCGTCACGTCGGTCCGACTTGTAAACACCAAGGACAGCAACCTGGGAACGATCCGCAGGGATCACCTACAGGCGGTGGAGAGCGGCGCCGTGTCAGCATGCATGTACGGTCCAATGCTTGGGTTCAAGGTCGTAGATGTCGGCTTGAGGCTCCATGCCATCGAGGTTGGACGGGGAACCTCTGTAGCCATGATTGCGTCGTGTGCGTCCGAGTGTGCGTCTCAGGCCCTCCGTGAGGCTAATATGCAGGTAGGGTCAAGAGTTCATCATAAACAGATTTTATAACTGTCATTGTGAGCTCTCGTTTGGATATTGCGTCGACAGTAAGCCAGAGTAAGCTCGTTTTTGAATACCTATCGTGCACTGAAAACGTTAGGGTGAGGCAGGGAATTATCCGAAAGCTTAGCGGAAAATCAATTTGCGTAATAGCGGAAAATAATTCGTGAAGGATGGTTAGGAGAATTGCACGACGAGACCATTTTCTGTGCACTCGGGGCAGGGTACATCGTTGAGATAAATAGCATATGGATGGTGATTTAGATAAACATTCGTCTCTCTGCTTCTCCTGCAGCTGATGGAGCCCGTGATGCTACTAGAGATCAGCGTCGAGGAGCGCCACCTACATGGAGTTATCGCCGACTTGTCGCGCCGGCGGAGTCACTTGTTGCAGATTGAGCCGCGTGCGAATTACCGCGTCGTGCACGCGAAGACGCCACTGTCGGAGCTGATGGGCTACTCGACGGCAATGCGCACTCTCACATCGGGAACCGGCAGCTTCTCGATCGAGCTCGATAGCTATCAGCCGATGACACACGACGAGGAGGGCAGGGTGTACGAGCGTGTGACAGGGTTCACGCGTCCCATCGGCTAGCTGGCTGTCCGTGCGTGTGTGCGTGCGTGCGTGCGTATGGTGACACAGAATGAACAGGGTGTGGGTGTACGAGCGTGTGACTGAGTTCACACGTCCCATCGGCTAGCTGGCTGTCCGTGCGTACTGGCGTGCGTATGGTGACACAGAATGAACAGGGCAGGATGTTCGAACGTGTGACAGGGTTCACGAGTCCCATATCAGCTAGTGGTGTGTTAATAAAAAATTTGTGCAAACACATTTTTTCTTGTACGCATAATTAATTCATAATGGTACAGTACATGTAAACAGCTAGATGGGGCTACCCGGGAAAACGGGTAAATCTCCTATTAATGATTCTGAAAAAATCCCACCCGTTTTTCAAGAAAATGAGATTTTCGTCTTTGATATTCCAAGGACGTGACTTTGAAGAAACATCTCTATGTTTAGCATTTTACACCAGTGATAAATTTGGGTAAAAATAGCCATCCTTAATAAGTAGGAATGTGGTTGTGTGCCCCAGAATGCCCCTCCTGTGGAGTGGCGTAGCCAGGATTTTTTAACAGGGGGGGCCGAAAACATCGAACTGCGCAAAATAGTGGATGACTTAATACTTTAATGGTTCCTCCGCCTCCCACCTCTCAGCTCTGCAATCTTTGTTATGCGCGCCATGCAAAGAGGCGATATTTTTGTTCGTTGTTCTCTGCTCCCATGATAAGTAACTGCATGTTCTGTGGCGGATCCAGGATTGCAAGGAGGGGGGTGAAAAAGAGGCGGGGGGGGTATGGGGGTCCTCCCCCAGAAAATTTTGAAAATATAGATCGCAGGCGATGGTATTTGAGGCACTTTTGAGTACATGTACAGCCTTCATTCTGACTACGACAATTCTCTTTTTAGTGGAACAATTCTTTTTTTTAACTTTCGGATCAACAGGGGGCCATGCATGGCCCCCTTTGCCCCCCCCCCCCTAACTACGCCACTGCTCCTGTGGTAAACAGCAGACGTAAGAAGACCGCTAAACATGATAGTTATGTAATAAAGACAAATCAACTAAACAAATAGATTGCTAACAGAAATGTACAATTTCACACGAATAGTATATGAAATCGTTAACCACTGATGAACATCACTTTGCATACTTTATTTTTTCCATCCAACTAATAGCCATGCATTGATCAAGTACAAACATGTACATCCAAATATGTACAAACCAAACATGTACATATGTACTTTTATTACAATTTAATTCGTATAATGTCAAATTTTACCAAGAATATCTTTAGCATTCTGTTTTTCCAGAAAATCTATTCACATTTCCTTTATTTCACCAATGTGTAATGTTTTGGAAATATTTTTCAATGTTTTCTAACGTTAATTTATATATCTATATATTTGTTTAAATTACGTTGTTTTTTTAATTAAGCAACCATACGGCACAGATCAGTAGGCCTACTACTAGATGGACAATAGATCCAAATCATTTTTCTCCCCTCAGAATTCTTTGTTTCGCGTCTTCATTCTGCTCGCCAATACTTTGTTTGAGTCTCTGGTGCCTCCTGAATACACTGTACTCTTTGCACCAGATAGCTGTCATCACCAGTGCACTGATACCGAGCGCTGCTACGACGCTCTTATTGTAACCAGCAAACCTGCCAGTGCTCTGAATAGGCATCGTCGAAACCAAAGAAAACTATACGCGCAGCAGTGCAACTTGTTGACGACTCGCGTGTGATGACGTCACTTGTTATCTCGTGTAGCTGATGTTTACGTAGCTTATGTGACGATGGCACTGCTGAGTTGGTCGGATCATTCCTGGTCTATACGTGTGTCACGTATATATGTCTTCGCAGATGTCTTCGCTCCTAAAGTTTCTTCAAAGATCGAGGCTGAAAGTTCAATAGTTGGGTTATACGTATTACCAAGAGTAGATAATAACACATGTGTATACATATATGTACCTCGGGTACATATCTGTAGTACCTGATACGACAACGACCACTTCAGCTGTAGTATGCAGATACAATAATGTAACGTACTCAACCAGAGTAGGGTTACAAAGCCCTCTTGTGGGGTATTTATTAGCTCATCTGACATAGTCAGATGCAGCTTGTAGAATCGCTTGATCGTCCGTCCGTCCGTGCGTCCGTCCGTCAACAGTTGGGCACAAATCTTAACCGCTCGACGTACGGTCACGATATTCGGGACGTGGGGGGGTAATCCGAAAACGAGTTCGGATGTCGAAGCTGGGGGTCAAAGGTCAAGAGCGTTGTAAATAAGGCGGAACATTCACTCCTTAACTAAGGTATAGGAGGAAATGCAGAATTGCGGCCACAAATCTAAACGGCTCGACCAGGCCTGGATCAGTCGGTGTATAGCATCATGTAGGAAAAGCCATCACTGTGCCGAAATTGGAGCGTCACAGGTCATAAGGTCAATGGGCACACGGCAGATTTTAGACATTTTCTGAGGACATGGTCTGACGAGCAATTGAAAAACTTTTTTGTTTTCAGCGGTTGACCTACCATTTTTATGGCTTTATTGAAAGGACCATGAAATGTGCTTTCCACTGACGTGTGATGAAGAGTAAGTGTCTGATAACCTTGTGACCTCAAGAGGAGGGATTTAAACATGGAATTGTTAACTGTTACTGTGTTAGAAAGAATTTGACTGCTGGGTTTTCTAGTAGAATCTATACATGCCTGGATGTATGAGGCTACAATGTCACTGAGTGAAATTTCAAAAAAGCTAAATTTTGCTTGAAAGAAAGGGTTTATGCTCCTTAAATCGTATAATTTCTATGGCATTCTGTACTGTCAGTGCTGTTAATATGCCACTGCAGTGGCCACTGCCAAGCTGCACCCCTGGTGGGTGATAGTAAAATTGGTGGTAGTTTTTGCCTGCGTTAATTAGGCTACAGGTGGCAGCTCTCAGCTGGCAGCCTGTAGGTAGGGTCAAACATGGGATTTGTTTCTCAAACGCTTTGGGAGTACCTGTGGTTGTGGAACGCTCCATGTTTACAGTTTGAAATTCCACACATAACATCTTACTTGAACAATGCTTTACTTAGGAGATAAATGAGATTGAGTTATATATGAGATTCTGTAGTGTACACTTATGAAATAGTTTGGAATAAGTCACTAGCACTCAAATAATTACCCAGGAGTGAGGCTGTGGATTTCCCAGACTTAATTTTCTCATCAAATTTTGGCACCAATATAGACGCAAATCAAACTGCATGCAGCGCCCTCTTTCGCACACTCAATATACTCTACTGTAGAAGGAGAATATACTCTATATACTCAATATACTCAATATACTCAATATACTCTACTCTCTACTGTAGAATGAGCCTATGAGCGAGAGCGCCATCTGTCGTGGAGTTTGGACGCAAATGTGTACGTTCTTGAGCTTATTCGGTCCACTAATCACTGGCCTACCTTGTTTTGTTTTTGTTTTAATAGGGTTAGGGTCACAATGCACCATAAAACATTAGTTTCAGGCACGCGATTTGTATCAACCAATGGGATTTGGGAGCCCGGAGTTATGCAGAATGCAGAAGGTTGCTGAAATGATGTGTACGCAACTGCGTATCTGCATATATCTGCGCCTAACAAAGGTGTCACTACGCACAACGTAAATGTTACGTTTATAACCGTAGCAACAGACCTCAGATGAGCCCAGACGCTCTGTGGCTCTTGTTGTATAGTACATGATACAGTTCCTGGAATGTGATTTGAACGTGAAATATACCGCGGCCAAGGTTAAAAGGACGGCCACAAGTTGTGCCCTGTAGACACACCGCCACCTTACTGTCCTTAGCCGCCGTAGCAAATCTGCGCCTTTACCAAGTTCAGGCTAAGGCGTTCAAGGTTACACCACAGCACAATTATTATTGTAATGAAAAGTCAAAATGCCAACAACTGTTTCTTTACACATCTGATTGTCTCTTTCGCTCTCAAACAAACGTGAAACAACGTTACGTTTACGTCCCACGTTACACAATCTTCCCGATAACTCCAGTCGCTGGAATTTCGCGGGATATTACCAAAGACTGTATATAACTTTATACGGTCTTCGATATTACAACCGATATTACCATGTCTCTATACTCGCCGCCTGTATAATACGTACGTGCAGTCGTCATACAGCGGCGATCAACAGACAGGCTAGACTGGCGCCATAGACGTCGACCACTCGGCGATCACACACTGACACAGTGGCGTGCGCGGTCGCGCACTGAGCACGCGTCAGAACACGGAGGAGGCAGATTACCGGTGACGTGCAACCTTCCCCGCCTACGCATGAATCGCATATGTGCGGATCGCATGTTCGGCGGCTGGCGTAATTCCTTAGCTGCACCTGAAGTGATATGTCGGCTGTGCGTTTAGTGCTGATCGTTCGGTTCGTTCCCACGTTTTAACGTGATTAGCGCTGTAATCCGTCTGACTTGATCCGACAGGAGATCCTTTTAATGATCAGTCAGTAATAAATTATAGGATCCTACTTGGAACAATTCTACGTTGTTCAAATGAGGAGAGTGGTCTAGCTGTTTGGATTGGACGATATACATGCTGATTTGGTTGGTGAGTACGAATTCGATATATACAATTATTCATATGTGAATATATTCATGCGAACAGCTACAGTGAAATACAAGTTATTGTTTAAGACTATATATAGGCTCGACATTAGATAAAGGTCGTAGGATGTCATGCAGTCATGAGTAATTAAGCTATAATTTTGTAAATATATTTTTGGGGGTATATGTCGATCATGTCGCCTGGCACACGTACGTAGAGTATATATAATATACGTATATACGTAATTAAGCGTCATTGTGTATTGTGGTGTTAATTCCCTAATTAAACTTATCAAAATAAAAATTAATTACGCTTTCATGTATTGAACTAGCTCTAGTACTATAGCCCGCGTTCGGCAGTTAATCGAACGCGGGCTATAGTACTAGAGCTAGTATTGAACCAGCTACCAGTACATACATATATCATCACTACATGTACTTTGATTTATTTAGGCAATTATCCATCATATACAATACATAGCATACTTTTATAATAAAATTTTGAATTCTTAAAATTGGATAATTATCAAGGATATATACACAAAAAGCATGACTAGCTTATTTACATTTTGGTCCTTGTTTTGCTATGCCTTGAATCTAACAATTACACTATACTATCACCATCAGCACTAACTATTGAAATATACGGATTTGTAGTTTTAATCGGTCATATAATGGTACATTCTCATAAGACGATACAAACTTTTCTTATGCCTAATTTCAACCGAATTCATTTAGCGAAAATCATACTCCTCTAGCTGCCTCTGTTTCTACATTTTCCATCAGCAATTTCTTAACACTATACTTAAAACTAGAATAAACAGAATTTGTCCTAACTTGCTGTTATAGAGAGTTCCAAGCTTCAATTGCAGTATAAGTAAAAAAGTTTTTTCCCACTGCTTCCCACCCTCGGTTTAAAAATAGACATCTCACCTTCCCTTGTATTGAAACTATGGACTTCTGACGTTAACATGAAACCTTCTGTCATATACTGTTTGCAGAAGGTTTCATGTTAATGTATCACCCCCGCGTTTGGTTCAAGGATAGAGATGATGTCCAGATTGAGACCTATGTCATTTTCGTAAATGTGGGGGTAGCCTCTTTAAAATCGACAGGGGAGTTCTTGAAGCTGTTGTTTGTTCATTTTCACCGAGAAACATTATGTGACTTTACAGGAAGTGTGGAAAAACCGCGTTTAAGCGACACTACTCGCCTGCTTCCGACTGTTTCTCACCATTGCTACGCGCGAGAATTTCCCGTGATGTTCCTGTGCTACGGCCCTCAAATGTATCTGCGTATTTGCGCGCGGCATTTACGCACTGATACTACTTGCTCTCCGCAGTAAATTACCTGGAAATCCGTTGATATTCGTCGCTTTTTCGGAAAGTCATAAATGAAATAAGAAACAGTCGGCCATTGCTGTTCACTGTTGTCTACTGCCCTCTCGCGGCCATGTGGTGATGTATGTGAATTCGCCCCCGCCCCCTCTTCCAGCTGCAGCTTGCTGCGCACATCAGTGTCGCTGGGCGCGCGTAAAGCCCGGCGCACACGTGAGTAATTTTACTCAAGTAAAATGACGCATGAGTCAAAATACTCACGCGTAATATTTTCAGCGTTTGCCGCACACGTGAGTAAAATTACTCAAGGAATAAGTGGTAATGCAGATCATGTGACTGCGCAGCCAATACTGGGCGCACAATGATTTAAACGCATGCACTGTGAGTACCACTGTTGAGTAAATTTACTCAGCGCGCGCGCACACGTTGAGTAAAATTACGCATGAGTCAAAAATTATCAAACACATTTGATATTGAGTAAAATGACGCATGCGTCAAATTACTTAACGAAAATCCGCCGCACACATGAGTAAAAAGACTCGTGCGTCATTTTACTTGAGTAAAGTTACTTACGTGTGCGCCGGGCTTACGGGGTAGACTGGTACTCGCTCCCACCTCGATTACTCATCGAGTAACTAAGCCATGAGGTGCGACCGGGTACCAGTCTAGCGTCGGGGGGGGGGTGCATACAGTGGGCATACTCACAGGCAGCTAACATCTGGACTCGGCTGCTGCCGGCTGCACCGCTGCATACATTCTTCCAGTTCTGTTGGATGCATTCTGTACATTAATTAATATATCTATCTATGTTTCCTAAATTAATCTTGGTTACACAAGGATGAATGCTTGCCTGTCTCTTTTCGTCCCTACTTTCATGTCTTTATATCACTCTCTATTATAACTCATGGATATTCCATTATATATATAGTTGAGGGTTGGGTTAGGGTCAGGGTATTAGGCAGGAATTTTTATTTTTAATTTTTAACTTGTTTACATTTGTAAATTTTAAACTTTTTCAATTCTTTGGCAGTGCAGTTTCAAAACGAACGTCCAAATCCGGCTGCACGCTCGCTGGCTAATACGCACACACACACACATACGCAGACATATAGACACCTAATTTATGCATTCAACGAATCCCCCCCCCCGCGCTGCCGCTGGCTGGTTGAGCATGTATATGAGTTCCTTCAGTAACAGTACTGTAATAGCTGATTCATTCATGCCATACACGTGATAATGTCTGCGAGTGGCTCCGTAGCAACCCGACACCCCTATTAAAGAATAACTAGTCCCATACAAACTCATTTACGTTATCGGCCGCGACGCGGCAAACGTTTCAACATTTCACCCGTAGGTACGCGCGTAGGTACCAGCCGGCCGCTGTACGTCCGACTCAATGCACATTTCAATTCATCTCCACGTGCACATTTCGCAACGTTCAACTTTCCACCTTTCCTGTTATCTCACGTTGCAATCACATCACCGCCCGCGCGTCTACATATATATAGCTATATGTATATATATCGGGAGCTAATAATGACAATAATTTGTCATTATTAGCTCCTGATATATATATATATATATCTACACTACGACTCCTTCACCGCATACCGCTACATGAATATGTATATACAGGGGTCGAAATTAAATTTTTATTATGGTATCCAATCGGGATACCAGGTATTGAAATCTGGTATCCCCTCCAAAGATCTGGTGTCCCATTTATTGGATAATAAATTTCAACAATTTTGGTATCCCAAATCTTGAAATATGCAATAATAGCATTTGAAAATTATTAATATGTAATGTAATTATAAGCCGCGCTCACACGTAGCAAGAAATTCGGTATTTAGCGTTCACACGAGGCAAAATGCGCGGTCCAAGAAATACGGTATCTAAACGGATCCGTATTTGTTGAAATACGCGGCTTCCCAGACCCCGAATAATTTGCCGTGCTTGAGAGATACCGGATCTCTTGTATCGCGCATTTCCTCGTGTGAACGCTAAATACCGTATTTCTGAAGCCGCCTATTTTTATAGACTGGTCCGCGCTCGACAGTTCCGTGTAACGCGAGTGGAACTGTCGAGCGCGGACCAGTCTACGTATTTTATTGGCAGTTGGTGCGCATTGCATTGTTTATTAGCTCATCTGACATAGTCAGATGCAGCTTGTAGAATCGCATGAGCGTGCGTCGCGTGCGTCGTCGGTGTGTGTCCGTCAACAGTTGGGCACAAATCTAACGCTCGACGTACGGTCACGTATTCGGACGTGGGGGTAATCCGAAACGAGTTGGATGTCGAAGCTGGGGTCAACGGTCAAAGGTCAAGACGTGTAAAAGAAGGGGGAACATTCCTCCTTAACTTAAGGTATAGGGAGAAATCACAGAATTGCGGCACAAATCTAAACGGCTCGACCTAGGCTCGTGATAGTCGGTGTATAGCATCATGTAGGAAAAGCCATCACTGTGCCGAAATTGAGGTCACAGGTCAAAGTCAATGGGCACAGGGCAGATTTTAGAAATTTTCTGAGGACATGGTCTGACGGAGCGATTGAAAACTTTTTTGGTTCCTAGCATTTTTATGGCTTATTGAAAGGACCATGAAATGTACTTTTGCTGACATGCGAAGAAGTAAGTGTCGTATACCTTTTGACCCTCAAGAGGCGGTTAAACATGGATTTGTTACTGCTTTAAAAAGAATTTACTGCCGGGTTTGCTAGTAGAATCTGATACATGCCTGGATGTATGAGGCTATCAATGTCACAGTGAAATTTCAAAAGCTAAATTTGGTTGAGAAGGTTTATGCTTTTTAATCGTATATTTCTATGGCATTCTGTACTGTCAGTTGTTACATGTAACGTATGGGCCACTGCCAGTGCATGTGGTGGTGTACTGTGTAATTTTGCCTGTGTTAATTAGTTACGGTGGCAGCTCTTATTTCAGCCTGTAGGCTTGCGTAGGTAAATGGATGAGTGCTTACCTATTCTGTCTTGCAGAATGTTGTTGCTACTACGTACGATGGGAGCTTCCATCTTTAATCTGAAGACACTTAACGTACGCGAATTCTCGTGGCAACTTTCATAACGATCCAATGAACATTCCTTGAGAAGGTTCCTGATACCATCCCTGTGCCTTCCACTGTTTCGGCATGTATGTGAACACATTTGGGACTAACGGGTTTACTAGAATCACCACTCCGCACACTCCACCACAGAGTCACCGCAGTAGACGTTAGATGAGCGCTGTCGCTATGCGGCACTTGTTAGAATATAGGATGGCATTTCTATCCCTGCAGTTGGATAGTGTTCTCAGCTATACCAGGAACTGGCTACAAGTTACCATCTCGCTTCTCAATACGTGGCTACAGTCGTAATATAGAGCCTGGTGAGACTAACCAGATCCTGCCTATATATAGCGTAGGCTATACGCATACACGTCACAACTATCACACCTATCTGACTTTCATTTATTAGAATAGTAATAATAGTATAGGCCCTACGATGGCATTTCTATCCCTGCAGTTGGATAGTGTTTCCCTATACGTGTACGGTGTACCAGGAACTAGCCACAGCGTAGCTCTAGTAGGGCTTACAGTTACATTGACTGCCGCCGGCAAGTGTACGCGGACTATAGTACTAGAGCTAGCCACAGCGTACCTTCTCGCTTCTCACTACGTGGGTCCAGTCCAGTGGGTCTCCGTAATATAGAGCCATCTGGTCGGGCTAACCAGGATCCTGCTTATATGTCGGAGTAATCATTATATTGGAGCGATATATATTGGTACCAATATCAATAATATTGGAGTAAACAAAAAAATACTCCAAGCCTATATATAGCGTATAGGCTACTCTTATACCAGGAACTATAGCCACAGCTAGGGTACCTTCTCGCTTCTCACTACCTTTCTGCAGTCGTATAGAGCCTAGTGGGGTTAACCATGCAGGAACCTGCCTATCTAATAGCCTTAGAGTAATAAGCTTATTACTCCAAGATATAGCGTACACGTTACAACTACAAAGTGTGCGGTCATAGCACGTGGCACATAGCGGCACATAGTGGTTCTCACACAAGTACAATGTAGCAATAAACCGATACAATATAATACAATACAATATATAAAGATAGAAACAAACAGACTTAGTACAGTGTAATAACGGTACTACGTATGCTTGTGGTAAATGTGTGGTTGTATTGTGGTAAGGATATGTTTGCGTGTGAGGGGACAAATAGCAGCGTGAAAGCGTTTAATTTATTACTTCATTACTATTAGCTGGAGTGAATAATCCCAAAGAGATTATTTATTCCTGCTATTGGCATTGTATGTATATTTTTCCATGGTGCTACGTGTACTTTAATGTAAATAATATGTGGTAACGTACCCGTAACGTTCTGCAAGCAAGGTTATCACACTTTCTTGATCTGTGTTCATTGTGTGTGAAGTATCTCGTGTTGCCCAGTACTAGTATAATCCTAACCCTAACAATTGGTGTCTATACGCTTTCACGCCCCTGCCATAAAACTACCTGGTATTTTCATTACCACATCTGTCTAACACTGGCTGATCGCTACTGGTCCAAATGACTAATATTACCAAATTAACGCGGACCTAGTATAGACTTCAGTGAAGTCACATCACGCGAACGTACGCCGGCGCGTGTTTTCTGTTGTTGTTTTGGGACTCGTGGTTCAAGTAGCGATCAAGCAAGCATCCAATGTAAAGAATATTCGTGCGCGCATGTAGGTGCATTTATGTTTACGTACGCATGTATATTCATTATGAGCCCGCGTCTACTCTTCTCGGAATGTAAACATGGCCATTCCCGTAATGACGTCAAAGGACACGCTATTTCTCCAATACTGCGTATCGCGGATAATAATGGGTATTTATCGATTTAGCAAAAGCTTTGTGCAGTCAAATGTGTTATGCAGCGGCGCCCTACACGTGTGCTTGCGTACGTGCATTTATCCATGCCCGTACATAATAGTTTCGTCAGTAACTACGACACCAGAATTCGTGTAGCATCTTTGATTTCGTCGCGATGATTGAAACGTCATCGCGTCTCTTTTAGATGTCACGCACGCGTTTTACGATAGTTGCAAGCACGATGCAAAAACTACAAGTGCAGCTGACCCTGGCACCTGTGTTGGTCATCGCGATCACACAGCTAAAACACGATTCTGCCAATCAGTATTTGCCGCTGTCATCGTCTACGTGTGCGCGGACCCACGAAAAGAAGCAGTGGGCAAGTCCCAAGTATTGGATCCCGGGATCCCATGTAGGCCAGAGCCTACATTTTTCGGCAGTTGTGGAGCAGTCGATGCCATATTTAGCGACTAAATGGGTCGACTTTCGCTGCAACTCTCGAAAGAATCGACCCATTTCCCTCATTCTGCACACGGGCGAGTCATGCGGCACGCATATCAGTATAAATGAACCATCTCTGAGCGGCGAGTGCTTCTGCTATGATCTGTTGTACTGTAGGCTGAGTGTAGCCAGACCACACTCGACTGTATAATGAATGGACACATTTATGAGACTGACATCTTAAAAAAACATGCATAGATCTATCAATGCAGTATGCATGGGGCATTCATTGGTTTGGCGAGTGGAGTGATTAAAAACGAGCCGTGCTTGAGGTGTTACCTAGAAAATGCATATAATTGTTCAGAAATTTGCTAATACGATTTAATAATGAGATTGTAATAACATTTGGAATAGGAATCATAATAGCAGTGCATATTATTACAATTTTCACTGGTAAATGACACACAACTGAACACACAGTCAATAATGTACGTAACACTGGCTTTATATACACATTATCTCCCATTATATGTACTCTTGACATTATACAACTTGGTGCTGTCTCTCTGTCTGTATGAGTCTGTCTGTATGTCGCTCTGTTTTATTTGGAAAGTACTAATGAGTAAACTAGATTTATAGCTTTGGTGACCATTGATTACTTGGTTTTACAAATTAGTGACTCATTTAGCAGATCTTTGTGATGTCTTTAGCTGCTCTGACTGAGTGTGGAAGTGCAGCTGAGAGGGTCTATGTCCCCCGGGGTACTGCCGGAACGTACCCTGGGTACGGTCCGGTATACCGGAACGTACCCTGGTACTATCTAATATGCCGGACCGTACCTCGCCTACTCCACTAACGAGTCTAGGGAGTCGCCTACGCCTACTCCCTAACCCTAACCCTAATCCTAACCCTAACCATATCAAATAGTGACCAGGAACGTTCCGGTATACCGGACCGTACCCAGGGTACGTTCCGGCAGTACCCTGGGGGACATAGACCCTATGAGCGGAAGTGCACTCGTGCGTAGTTTTTTCAGTTATGCAGCCAGTATTAAAAAGCTTCATAGACTGCAGTTTGATATCACTATGATTGGCCCAATATTTGATCCAGATTGCCTCTAGCAAACCTGTCTGTGTCGTGGCCCATGTGAACAAAACAAGTTCACAAGTAAACATGTTCTGCTTTTTATTGCTCTGTGGTTGTTATGTTTTGGCACTTGCTGTTTGCTTGTGTCCTTATTTTGTTTATATGCCGGGCCACGCTATTATTATTTGCTGTGCCTATTGCCTGTGAAATCCAAATGGCATCTCGGATGTAAAACCGGATGCAACAAAGCTATGAAGTACTGTAAATCAGTGTCTATATATAGGCGTGCATGGCAGCAGAGGATAGTGAAGTTTCTTAAACCCTATTTCTAGATCTATAACCGTGAAGCTAATCAACAGAACTTTTGTTACTTGATAGACTATTGCATGCAGTAGTACGGTATTGATTCAGTAATTTTCTGTTTATATAGCTTGGTGTCCGAGGATGATTATGCACAGAGGAGTGAAACGCAGGCTTGAGGAGGAGCTACGAGAAGATGCCACTAGTTATTCTTGCACGATGCCACAGATTATGTGCGTCAGTATGTGGAAGCTACAGGTATATATACAAAAACTTGTGTTATCTGTATCTATTAGCGTAGCACCAGGACATGTGCTACATGTATGGCAGATTTGTAGATTTGGCATTTTAATTTTCGAATCGAGTTTCTGTCATCTGGCCTTCCCGATCCGGGGGCTCTGTCACATCAAGCACCTTGATCCACATCTAGTTTAATTCTAGAAAGCATCAGTAAATGCAATCTTTTAACATCTGCAGTAAATTTTATAGTGAAGACCCAATTATCGATTATAAGTGAAAGTTGATCATTTGTTGCCACCGATTAGATAAACGATGATGAAAGTAAAAAATCAATAATTTATGTTAGTTTCTGGGATTAAGATCAGGGCTGAAAACTTTTATAGTGTTCGTTTACCTCTTTTGTTATGCAAATTTAACTGAAAAAGTGCCATTTTGCATTTATCCTGACAGTATAATACAGTATTTATCCTGATATTTCCTGAAGATTTCGTTCTATATGACCGCATGCTGTAAAACAGTGTCATACTCTTCTTCTATTATGGACTCTTGATATGAAATAACATAACAATATATTTACATACTTGTGTGTGTGTGTGTGCGTGCGTGCGTGCGTGCGTGTGTGGATTATAATAGATTATCGATCGGATAGGTGTAGTTGTTAATTGATTATGACATTCCAGCTGATTCCCATCAGTAGAATTTGATGGAACACATCGATCGGACAGCTGTAATGGCACAACAAGTAACATGTATACATACTAGAACATAGAGGATTTTGATGTTTTGCGTATGAAAATTAATCAACGTTCATTTTCAGGGTGTTCAGTATGAGCCAGAGTCCAACTTGCTGCGTTCTGTACTGATCTGCAACACACTCAAGCACATCGAGCGTGAGGTAGAGACGTTGACAGTCATTGAGTCGACTCCACACTTCCCGCCAAGGCTACCCTACGGTAACATTAGATCACCTGCAATGCAGGATCGCATAACGGCGGCAGCAGACATGGAGGAAAGTGCCGAGGATGGCAGTGATAGGCCATTTTCGTGGTCAGAAGATTCGTGGTGTGGTGGACCATCGGGTGGTGACAAAGAAACTAGTCTTGACGTTGGCAGAGAACGTGAAGTCCCATCGTTATTACCCCAACTGGAAAGTACTAAACAGTTTAATCTTACCAAGGTGGTGAATCACCAGATACTCAGTAATGGTTGTCAATTTCTGTCTGTTCCTGCCTTGAAAGCAGACGACGGGAAAGAGGGAGCCGCGCCACATTTGAATCAGGGTAATTGTGATCTGCCAACAATCTGCTACAGCTGCGTCTCTCCCAGTATCACAGTGCAAGGTGGTTTGTCTAGCTGCAGTACCCTGACGGACTCGGTAAATTGCCGTAGCAGTACTGACTCGTGTGGGGCTATCACATCAGTCGTGGCCAACAGAGTAGTAGTTCCAGGGTCGACTTTGACGTCAGGCGAAGAGGACAAACCACTGTTGACACTGCAATGGCCCTCCTCAGTCGATTTTTCGTCGAAGTCACTAATGAACTTCGGTGACCTTGACATGTCCTTGTATGACTATGATGCGAGCCTTCCCAGCCTGTCTCCAACAAAGTCTTCAGCATTGAGTGTAGAAGAGCTGTTTTCTGTTCCCTATGTTAACTGTCGTGGGAGTGAGAACCCGATCGATGACTTGGAGACAATATGGCAGCTGCTTGTCGGAGGGATGGCTTGAGTTCTAGGTATGGACATAATCTGAAAAGGACTTCACAGATACAGCTTTATATCTACGACTAAACTGTACCTTAATGTAAATTTGTGTGTGATAAGATTGTTAGGTTGTTTTTTTTCTTCAGAGATATATAATAATAGTGTGTGAAAGAGAGAGAGAGAGAGAGAGAGAGAGAGAGAGAGAGAGAGAGAGAGAGAGAGAGAGAGAGAGAGAGAGAGAGAGGGAGTGGAAGTAAAAGCAAGCAAGCAACCAAATGACGGCATATATGTCATGCCATGGTATGGTCTGCATGGGGCTGGTCCAGAAAGTTGTACGCTTGCCATGACCTGACCAGCTCAGTAACAAACTAACAATATTATGGACTCACTCATATTTTTTTAGCTTTTCTCTTATAGCTTTTCTTTTAGGAACAAAAAACCGTTTTGACTACCAATCCAGTCTCATGGCATGGGTCACAGTAACGAGACAATTTATTTGGACCAGCCAAAGTTGGGTATTTCTGAAAGTGACTGTCAGAACTGAATTAATTATTCAAATGTTTGAAGTGTTCATAGAATGCGCCCCTGTTATTTTCAAAGCATGAAGTAGCCCTGTGAATTGGTATATTATATTTGCTATATATTATTTATTGTGTAAATCTAACATGCACATGGAATGAGGTGTTTGCGTGAATGTTGTCTTTCTATGAAAGTTATTTATATAGTTTTTATATATATATGTAATATTAAGAAATGTTATTATTACTACTGGTAAGAGTATATGTGCACTGTTATATGTAATGACCAACTGCATGGCTAATACCAATTAGATTTTGGTAGGCACACCTAATTGCCCACTCGAAAATAGCTGGCATTACAAAAGCAGTGGATTCTCCGCACAAATCAATAGCGAAAGAGACTATCGGATGTTAATTTTGAAAATGGGGTAATTCCTAGTTTGATTCCAAGGTAATGATTTTCGTCACGTGAGTGCGATTATATGTAAAATGGTCACGTATAATTACTGCTAATGAGACTCATAGTCTTCCTCATGTTATATTTCATAACATGGGTGCATAAAGTTCGACTTGATTTCGAATAGAAAAAAAGTTATTGCGATAATCACTGAATGATATTTGAGGGGTGGGGGTGAACTGACTTCATGAATCACTGATAAGCAACCACATGTTTTAGCCACAGGAATTTTTGCACTTAGTCGGGGGAAGGGAAGTTAGAAGGGGTGGTGGCACTAAATGCGATAGGTGTAGTGATTTCTCATCCGGGTGTTCTGTGAGAGAGGAAAGACGCGTCATATGCTGAGTAAGTCTCAGACAGTATTAGAAACGTGACGCATATATATGCAGGCTGCAGCAGTATCCAGTATGGGCGGTTAACTCATTCTGATTCAATCCCTGACTAGCGTACAGTGTGAGTGATACTTCGTCTCCCATAATGATAATTATATATAGGAGTTAGTGTGAGAGCTCCCTCCAAAGGAACTTTAATTATAATCAGGAGGTTCAAATATGAATAATTGTAATATTATTATGTTGGGGTGCAGTCCCATAATAGTAACAAATTACGGGATGGAGGCGTTTGATCATGCATATATTGATGAGCTCTGAGAGCTATATATAAATGTATACGTCAAAAATTTGAACCGCACGTGCCACAAAATAGGCGCGGATGAATTTTTGAAAGGTTTTTCATAATACACTATAGCTCCTACACATAACTTCTCTCATCGCATCTGTGAATTGCAGTTTTCTACAAATCACCGTAATGTAATTCAATTGGACTTTGTACTATATTTTAAGAAGTACGTGGCACTTATAGTGGCAGATAAATGTTAGTTGTTGACACAATATATGTGGTAGTCATGATTATACACATAGGCTGATAGTGCTCAATACAGAAGTAAAATGTACTTGTATATAAAATGAATTTAGGATTAGTGCAGTCCTGCTATATTTAAAGTTGAAATGGAAATGAACGTGTTTATTACATACGTGTTATTACATATAGTTATATACATTTTGAGTTGGATAAAAGTCGGTTAACTTTATAGGGGTAATAGCTGCTTCCTATGGCTTTTGCTGATTAGTGATAGCTCCCACCCACTTCACGCAGACAAACGCCAACCGAATTTCTTTCGTACTACATGTATTATCGATTTAAAAGGCACGTAACTAACCGTCCCTAACAAATGTTTTCATATGTTAATTTATCGAAATGTCAAAAATAATGAACCGTGTGGCCGGTTTTTGTCCATTAGACGACGTCATACGTGGATTCATCAGATAATCTATGTATATCAGTAATCTAATATCGTGATGATAAAATCTGTACTGCTATATTGCCACTTCATTCTAATTTTCAACTAGATATATAGAATCATAACACTGTCCACGCCAAGTTAACCTTAATACTGCCCGTAGGGTCTATGTCTCCCTGGGTACTGCCGGAACGTACCCTGGGTACGGTCCGGTATACCGGAACCACAGGCACTTGGGACAGAGTCAGTAAAAACTGAAAATAATATGAACGCACATTCACAAATCGTACCCCTTTGTTACAGTTCCACTGTTGCGACACTGTATATCAACTTTGCTTCATAAAAACCTATGTAAAAACTAACGCCGAACGCTCCCGCACTCGCCGCTGCGAGTGTGCTGTGACGCTAATCGCTATGATGATAATATATATATATATATAGAGTATTATCATATATATATGTATTATATATATATACATATATATATACTACTCTATATACTAATCTATATACTACTCTATATACTACTCTATACATACTATATATATATATTATCAGGATATTATCATCATAGCGTCACAGCACACTCGCAGCGGCGAGTGCGGGAGCGTTCGGCGTTAGTTTTTACCAAAGTTTTTATGAAGGAAAGTTGATATACAGTGTCGCAACAGTGGAACTGTAACAGAGGGGTACGGTAGTAGGGCCTATTTGTGAATGTGTGTTCATATTATTTTCAGTTTTTACTGACTCTGTCCCAAGTGCCTGTGACCGGAATATACCCTGGTACTATCTAGTATCTAATATGCCGGACCGTACCTCGCCTACTCCACTAACGAGTCTATAGACTATAGGGAGTCGCCTACGCCTACTCCCTAACCCTAACCCTACTGCTTAGTATTGCTAATGCTAAATTTCTCTAAAAGGTCATACGATTGTCCTGAAGTTATAGCAAAAATATCAGATATAAATATCTATGATTATCATTAGTTGCTGGTGCAGTCGCACATCTACAAACAGCCCCTCGCGCCACCATCGAGGCCTTCCATGCTTTTCCAGCACTGCCCCTGTGTTCCTCTAATCTCGATTTATTAGTTTCTGTGTGCGCAGTAGCTGCTAATCGTACGAATATACGAACGTACGAATGCTGGCGTGCACGCAGATTCATAAACTCGGCGACGAGAACACATTTTTATAACAGAAATAACTAAATCAGTAGGCAAGTTCTTGTTATATGCAAAATCATCACCCCCTAAATCACATCGCATTGCGCAATCGCTAACGATATCGTCATTTATACACACATTTTCTGCGGAATAATCAGGTTCTATCTGGTCTTGCAATATTCGATCGCTGTTCCTTCCCCCCCGCCCTAGCTAGCGCACGCTTCGTGACCTTTTGCGCCAGCTGGTGGAATCCAAAGGCCGCTGTGTTACCTTGCTATTTTCGTGACGCACTCGGATAGTTTTTGGATGACTCGTAGTTCACCGCCGTCGTGAGCAAGCGACAGCAACATATATACTGTACACCCGCGGCGTGTTTGCGCGAAAGATGTACCCTGCGTATCATCGGTTCGGGGGAGGGTTAACGTGTGATTGATTGTAGTGGAAAGAGAGAGATACCCGCGCGCGAGAGAAAGTGCTCATTTATGGGTCAAAAAACGCGTAGGTGAAAGTGAACCCTGTGCGTCGCTGCTCGAGTCCAGTAGAATGGAGCTTGCCACACAGCGCAGACGGTCGAACACGCGAGAGAATGCAAACAATGGATTTAGGTTTTTGGGGCATTGAAAATTACGGCACAGCACTCCGCGTTGGCCCCATTTCTGTCGCTGGTTTTGGTTTTCGTGAAGGTCTGTACAGTGGTGAAGGTAAATGGATGACCATGTGCAGTTCCTTGAGTTGGCATTGGTTCACCTTTGCTATCACAAACCTTGTCGCACGACTTTGTTGGTCTGTTTGCAAATCACTATGTAGTTAACCTTGCAGGGTCTTGAATTTTGTCACCCAAACGTGTATGACTTGACAGTGCCCATGAATGCGCGTAGTGTTTTACGAAAATGTAGTCAATAGTGTGCTGCGATACATGCCTGCTTGGCGGATCACAAAATAATTATGTGACTATGGAAGCATGCAAGCATTAAACATACGTTTTGTGGAAGGATCGAAGCAAAACTACAACGTAATGTAATTCCTAATTTCGTAGAACCTATAGGATCAATTCGTATTTTCGCCGTAGTAGAGCAACAAGGTATAACTATTATCTTCAATATTGTGGTTATACCAGTCTCGGGCTTTGCTGAAGCCATGTGGTATGATCGAGGGTTGAATGATGTCATCAGACGGTGACCTTAACTTGCATGTACTCTCTTTCACAATACTGATTAGTGTCCACGTGTATGTAAGCTACTGGTGTCACAGTAAACACGCCAGAAGTACGTATATCATAACAGATTTGCTATAATATGCTATGAATCTTATGATCGATATAATATGGTAAGATCTACATCTGTTATCTATTATAACGCGCTCCTAAACCTATGTACGTGGCAAGTCAATATAAAAAAGTTCAGGGTAACACTCTTGCATTGTTGAGTAGTACGGATAAAAGTTAGGGGCCAGACGTGATGCGGCCATGATGCCGAGGCGCGCCGAGGATTGACACTGTGTCTTAACCAATCACAGCCTACGCCACACCAGTCTTTTATATTTTTAAAGATGGGGACCCATTGGACCACCAAATCGCCGATCTCAGGAACTAGGGCATTCTGCTATGTTAGAACGGTTTCCTACGATAGAGTTTGCAACAAATACGAAAATAAGTTAACACACTGTTTAGCGCAATGCGCTACGTCCCTCTGTTGCATTTTCGCATCTCCGTAATCAGAATAAGCCCCGCCTTCTTCGTTGATGGACATGAACGGGGCATCACCGACGTGACCAGTTACTGTACCTACTGTGTTCCGCCAGCCTGTTTACTTTTCGTAAATAATGAAATGGCCAGCAAATTGAAATGAAGTGGAAAATTTTCTGCATTTTCACTCGCTGTCGGAAGTGAACGAGTGCGTCATTCATTGAACATTGAAGTTTTTCTTCAAATTAAATAATTCCGAAAATTCCTAACCGCGCTACTCGATTGTTTTTGCCAATGAACGTAGCTGTGTGTGTGACGTCTTGCCCGCGCGCTTTATGCTTGGCTTAGCAGGCTATTACCGTATATATGTTTCACATACGTTCACCTATTTTGCACACAGGCGGTCGATCATTGTGAAAAATTGTGTGAATATTTATTTTTATTGAGACGTTCCAAGTGCCTGTGCTTTCAACAGTCTTGTACGTCAATGCACGTGCGTCAAGAGCCACAAACTCAACACAATTTCATCTCTGTTATTGTTTACGCCTGAATGCGTGATTGATCAGGGAGGGGGTGCATGTAAGAGGGAGACATTTTCTTTGGGGTTCCGAAAAACACAATTCCACTTGACAATTTCATGGCCCATTTCAATTGGAAGCTCTGCATAATGGACCCCCAACAAGCCCTTTGACTGACTAGTCAAGAAATTCAAAGGTCTGTATATTGCTCTTATTTAGCCGCCGATAGTTTGTATTTAGAACAAAGTCTTCATTGTTATCTTTTAAAACTACAGACCATCCGCTGACCGCTGTAGAGACGTGCGCCGGGCCTCGAATTTGGCGCACGTCTCCTGCGGACAGCGCTTCATACTTGAACATCCCCGCGGTCGCGTGCGCATATCCCGCAGAACTGCGCGTCTCATCCGCGCGCAGCTTTCAGGATCAACAGAAAAGCTGTGCCACGCAATCTTGTATCATGTCTCTCTGGATTTAGCAGTGAATGTGGAATATAAAATAAGAGCATACGTAATTCTCTTGTTGCTATTGTTGACTGGCAGTATACTATATATAGTACACAGTATCCCGTCTCGTTCATGCATGGTCAGTTCTGTATTTTATACATACCAGTTGGTCACTGTTTTGAACCCTCTTACCCACATTGCATTACTGAAATTTTTGGAATTGATTCAATATAGTTGTCTATGACTTGTCATGCAATTGAAATTGTACGTATCTAAAATTGGGTGTGTGTAATGTTTCATCGCCGTGCCACAATAAGATTGTTATATATTCATAAGGAAGCTTTTAAAGAAAATAAACCAGAGTTTCAAGTAAAAATGTGTATAGTCATCATATGTTTTGATCGTTGTGAATTTTCTTATGTAGATGACTCTTCTACATCTACATCCACGAGTAACCCCTACTGGTACCAGCGATTGTCCGACACAGGGGGTAACGTCTCTGCCGGAGGTGGGGGGGGGGTAAACTTACATTGCAAGTAGGGACCTAAAACTAGGCTATCCAATTTTCCCAAAATTTCAATATTTAAAATGCCATATTTAGCGTTTTAACAGGAAATAATTGTTATATCTCTATTGACATATTGTAATACATATATCACATACACATATAAATCAGACCTTCATCCTACTGATTGTTTTCACAAGTTACTGTGATTAGCATAGCACTACAAATGAAACACGACTGCAATTTCTTTCATAGATCGGTCCCCGGCGAGTTACTTTTTTCCTGTCGGGGCTGGGGAGAGTTGTAGCCCCCCACCACAACGTCCCTGTAGCTTTGTAATTTGCACAAGCGGTTTGTCACTAGGTCTGCCTGACCACAGACATGGTCTAAGAAATAGTCAGATAAAGCTGAGCTGATGCCCGAGGCTGTACCGACTCTTCATGCAGGAGCAATGCGCAGTGTAGGTGTTGCTTATCTTGCTTATCGCTTTCTCGTGATTTGTGTGGCCTGCTAGATTATATCCAGGAAGTGGCGCCGGATTCGAAATGGGTAATGAGCGGTGCAATTTCACGGTATCAGGTCACCGACTGAGCGTTTTACTAAAGAAGTTCTCGGTAGAAGTTGGTTGAATTTCACACAATACGTACAGGCCGTAGCCAGGGGGGGTCGGTGACGACCCAAGCAAAATTTTTGTTTTGAATTTGCAAGAATTTACTTCAGGTCGTCATTTGGTGTAATTATTGCAAATCTCATCGTGGAGGGTGATCGTGAACACCTCCTACACCCTCCCCCGCTCGGTGCTTGGCTCCCTGCCTGGTCGCGTTCGCGCCGGCAGGGCGTGTGCAGGGGGGGTCAAAGGTCGGACCCCCCCCCTGCTCGCGATGAAAAGCATCTGAGGGGGGTATTAAAAAGTTTTTGACCCCTTGCGTGTGAACTTTGGGTACGGGTTAGAACACCGCTAGCTGTACAATCTGTACACGCCCTGCCGAGCAAAGTTGCAAATTGAAAAACGTCCCCCATTATGTGGTACGGGCCTGCAGTTAGAGTACAAAGTGCCGCGGAACGACGGGCGCTATTAACGTTCTACTGGCGGTGATCTGTGGTGAGTGGTGGGATTCTAGTAAAGCTGTTGTCAAATGTGTTACTACGCCCGAACAGTGGAGGCAGGGGATGGTATCGGGACTATCTCAAGGAATGTCGTTGGGCGTGTTATGAAGTTGCCATGAGATGGGCGCATATTTAAGTGTATTAGATTAATGATGGAAGTCCCCTGTACGTAGTTGACATTTTGACATGATGTAAGCATCTCCATTTTAGCAAGTACAGGTTGAATGAAGCTGCCCTGTAGTATATTAAGCAGGCCAAAATCTTCCACCGAGTCTATCACCCTTATACATGTGGCAGTGGACTAGTTACTGTACAACTGACGTAGCGAATGCATGATTATACGATTTAAGGGCATACTTGCTTCAACCAAGTTAGTTTAGAAATTTACTGTGAATTGCGCCTCTCATCCAGGCATGTATTGATTTACTAGCAACACGGCAGTCAAATTCTTTCTAGACAGTAAAATAATCTGTTTACCCTCGTCTTGAGGGTCAAAAGTTATCGACACTTATCCTTCGCTGTCAGCAAAGTACATTTTGGTCTTTCAATAAGCTAAATTTTAGGTCACGCTGAACAAAAGTTTTCATCGTCGTAGCATGTTCGTAGTGTCTATCTTGCCTTGTGCCCATTACTTTGACTGTGTCTTCGCATGTCCCGCAAGGGGATGGCTTTTCCCTACCATGATGCTATACCGACTATCACGAGCCTGGTGAGGTGTTTAGATTTGCTGCGCATTCTGCTTTCTCCTATTACTTAAGTTAGGGGGTGTTCTCCCGTTTTTACACCTCTTGACCTTGGACCAGGCTTCGACATTTCCAACTCGTTTTGGATTACCACCCCCCCGTCGAATATACGTACGTACGTCGGGGTTGATTTGGTGCAATGTGACGGAGGACGCGGCGATCATTGCGATTTACAAGCTGCATCTGCTGACGTTCAGATGAGCTAAAATCAGACACCTGGGAATTGGACTTTCGATCTCACTTTTTAATTGGCGGTTTTGTGTTGGCAGTGATATCTGTTTGTTCTTACATGCACGTAGGGATAAACTAGGCTATCCAGTTTTTCCCCAATTTCATTTAGAAATTGATATTTAGGTTTTACAGAATGTATTGTTATAATTCTATTGACATATTGTATGACATATATACATACACATATAAATCAGACTTATCTATGTTGTTTTCAAAGTTCTGTGATTGTAGATACAAATGAGACGACTGCATTTTTTATGATCGGTCCCGGCGAGTTACTTTTTTTCCTGTCGGGGTGGGGGATTGTAGCCCTCACACACGTCCTGTAAGCTTTGTAATTTGCACAAGCGGTTTGTCACTAGGTCTGCCTGACCACAGACATGGTCTACAGACAACTACGTCAGATGAACAGCATGAGCTGTGCCCCGAGGCTGTACCGACCTCTCTCATGCAGCGAGCCAAATGCGCAGGTAAGGTGTTAGCTATCTTGCTTATACGCATTCTCGAATGATTTGTGTGGCTGCATCAAATTACTGATCACAGAAGTGGCGACGGATTCGCAAATGCTAATGCACGCGGTGCAATTTCACGTATCAGGTCAAACGACTGAGCATTTCTACTAAAGAAGGTTCTAGAGTAGAAGTTGGTTGCCACCTGGGAATCTGGACTTTTCGAAAACTCAAACTTTTTAAATTTAGCAGGCTTTTGTGTGTATGCGTGCATAAGTGCTGTTTTTTCTTCATTTGTTTACTGTATTTTTGTTTCACAATGTTCATTCACACATAATTTCAAGCATTACACGCTCTTTTTTGGTAGTGAAAAATCTTTATGTTTACATTTTTGTCAAGTGTTGACTGCTCGTTTTGATAAATAAAGCATGTTGTATTTGCTAATGAATAAACTATCAAAATTTATCTGTTAGTCTCTTTTTCATTTCTCATTAAATTTGAATTTTAAAAGCTCTATAATGCCCGTTCGCTGTAGTGAACCCGCAAGCACCCTGCTTCACTCAGTAGTCACACCTCTAGTGGTTACTCGTAGAATAATACATACTGACTACTGACTAGCATGGCTGGATACATAGGTCTGTACATGCATGTACACTCAGCATCTCTGCCCACTCAACAACTGATGCGTGCAGAGGCAATCACAACTGTGATTCAGTACCAGGTGCTGAAACACGCCGTGAAGAGAAAGGATGTTAGTGTTTGATCCTGACAAAATCTGACTATTCAGTAATAGAGTTGCAAGAAAATCTCTCTGTAGATCAGAATTCACTGCTCACTAGTGCATTGATATGGTTTTTAGTGGTCAAGGAAGTCTCTACTATGTGTACTATAGATGTCACATACCCAATTTACACTGCCAAGTAAAAGAATTTAGCACAGAACTTGCTTTATTATAGTTATTACATTCTTTGCATCGATTATTCAGTATAAGCATACATTTTATGCACAGAAAGATAACTCATCAACTATAACATACACAGGAATCTACACACAATGTCATGATGCACTAGAGTGATTTGAAGTTAATTTTTTAGGTTTAAAGATATGTAGATGTTTAACTCAATAAATTTATTAAGAATCCTGTGATAAAACACTTGTGTGATTCTTATCTAAAAATGCCACTCATTTGTTTATGGAATGCAAGTTGTCATTTTAACAAAAAGGCACATTTCCAAAGCGACAGCTGGTCTTTCACATACAATTGCATTCGTGAAAAAAGAGGAATTGTACTTTTGAAACTTATTTTTATCTTATGTTCAATACTGTTATATATATATAAATTTTACAGCACTGTGCTTAATTTGCATTTGCAATTTGCAAGTACTCTCAGGAATTGCTGCACGAATGTTAAAATAACGCCATTTAGAACAATAAAGATAGTTTGGTGTAGGCCAATGAGACTGAAACTGAACGTGTTGTATATAATATGTAAAGTTGTTGAATGTAACCACAATTTGCTCTTATTATCTAGCTCTGGCAGGCTCATGTAGATGGCAGCACCTGCCTGGCACATTACTGCAAATGAATAATTAGTACAGATTAGATTGGCAACTAGCAAATACCCGCACGAATCGGTTACTATATTATCAAAACACGTTTAATTTTTAAAACTTAAATGCACAATACAATTTTCACTAGTCGTAAAGGTTGTTTAAACATATATGCTGCTGAAATATACAGGTCTAATCACGCTACTATACTGTGTGGTACTTATATTAATTTTATCAACACACTTTTCAATAAATTTTGAACTATTAGTGGTTGACAACACAAAACCAGCCCCTAACTACATTGAGGCCCATCGAGGCGCCTGCCTTGATACTTTTAAAAACTGAATAGGCAAAACAAAAACCTAACCATAGCCAAAGTATCATCCATATATGCCTTAATTTGTCCTAACATTGTTGAAAATAGCCATAGTAGTTAAATTCAAAATTAGCTTTTTTGCCATTTAACTGGCTGAAATACTTACTGGAACATGGTTCCTATTAATGTCTTTCATATCAATACTTACGATGCTGTAATCATTAACCCGTAACATACCAATTTCCCGTTTCAGGAAAAATGTGAGATTTGAACTTCAAATGATCATCTACCATCCTGTTTCAGGGTGTTAGGCACATTAGGAATTTTTCTGCTTCACAGTTTCTAAATATCCAACAGAAATTGCAACATGTGGGCAATGACAAAGCAAGTGATTGTTTAAGCTATCCACAATTATCGATCAACACGGGTACCCCTTTCAAAAGCACGTCCTTCCGCAGAAGGGTGGACGCAGAAGCCCAAGGGATAATTACTATACACGTTTGTCTACTCCAGTACAGTTTCAAACTGAGGCTTCTTAACACAAACCTACAGATTCCCACAAAACAATGGAGTGCTGCAGAATCTTTGTGTATCTGCTTTTCTCTCGCTCTTCCCTTGTACTCGCTAGAATTGCACCTGCTACATTCCACAATCTGCTGCACCAAATGATATCATGCGTGGTCCTTCTGTCACGTTACGCCTGCCATAGAAATGCAAACATTCTTTGCCACGTTTTCAAAGACATGCTATCAGCTCACCTGTCACCGCCGGTAGCGCTCACGGTTCTTGTGCCGCCGACCTTCACCCGACCTTGAGCGTGACCGCCGATGACTTGCCTTGTCCTTGTAGGACTTCTTGTGCACACGCTCGTCCGGTGAGCCACTGTAGGAACGTGTGCGTGAGCGCTTGTGCTTCTGCGAGTGACGCTTGCTGTCCTTGTCGCGATCGTGGCTGTGGCTGTACGTGCGATCGGCATGCTTGTGAGACTTGGGGAACTCCTGGTAGCCACGTGGCAGCACCTTGTGCTTGTTGCGCTTGGGACTCGGGCTCCGACTGTCGCTTGCCCTCGACTAAAACATCATCACACCGTAGATAAGTATGCATTGAAGTCAGGATTTCGAACAGTCTTCCTGACTATTCTCATATTTCCCGACCATTACAATACCTACTGGTATTGTTTTTATGAAAGCAAGTGCATACAGGAACAGGAAGGCTAACATATGTTAGAACACCTGCCGTTTTTACTTCACCAAAATATGTAACGATTGAAATGGCTCTGCTGACTTCTCATTGACGCCGTTACACAATCATGACACTTCTTTCTTACGAGACCTAGTCCCTACACTTTCTTAATGGTAACTTGCATAGAGTAATAGAGATGCTGTACCAGTCTAGAACCACATCACTCAATGAGATGTACTTGTACTTTTGTCATGTGGTTACCAATTACCGGGCAATTGTCACAGCCCTGAGGAGGGTAGCTGTGTTATTTGCTATTTTATAACAACATCATAACATGAACAATTTTTATACTGGAGTAATCAATATGTCCATTAATAAGCGACACCTAATTTGTCAACATTTATTATGTTTTTGTTTATTTGAGAGATAATTTGAATGCTATTGCTAGTTATTACCTTTACTGTTATGACAATCTTTGTGATATCATGTTTATGGCAATTAAGATTTTATTTCTATGAATACTAACTATGACGATGTTCCACAATGCTAGGTGGAGGAACAATAATAATGGAGCAACGAAAATGTGACCATAAGGTTACGCACTTATAAACAATACAAGCTTTCAGTTATTCTAGTATTCGGCAACAGAGCCATATTCTTTCTTTAACAACTAATGTTGTCCTTAAACAACAAACTATTTCAGCTTCCTCACCTTGTACTTAACAGGGGAATGGGCTCGCTTCTTCTTTCCGTTCTTGTGGTGGCTGTTGGCCTCCTTGTGTCCATTGTGCACATCCTTGTCTTTCTCCTCTTCAACGTGTGGTGAAGCAGTGCGAGACCCCGGCGAAAATCCTGAGACAAACATAGAATGCTGTTGTGTACAGGTCGACAGCGCATGTCCAACAAACACAGGACACGAGTAAAGCTTTGAATAAGCATTTATGAATCTATTCTTTCAACAGAATCCACTGCTTCACCAGTAAATTGTCATTGATGCAATGCCAAACCAGTACGCATGTGAACTAAATCTAAGAATGTTGCACGTTCTATATTAAGCCTGGGACACACCATGCACGTCCGCTCAATCGCTTTCAATCGCTCCGTCAGACCATGTCCTCAGAAAATGTCTAAAATCTGCCTTGTGCCCCATTCACCTTTGACCTGAATTTATTCGCACGTCCGCAGTGATCATATCCGCAGCAAAAATCGCGGCGAAAATATTCGCACCCGCATGCGATAATTGAGCGGACACACCATGCAAATCTATTCGCACGTCCACAGCGTACACACTACACGCGTTCTACTGGCGCCACACGGCTCCAACAGTCATGTGGTCACGTGATTAGCATACTGATCAATGATTCGCTGCATTATAACAATCGTCCGCACGTCCGAAGCGAAAATATCAAACGTTTGATCACTGCGAATTACGTGGATGAAATTCGCCCGTGCTTGAGCGGACACACCATAAGAATTTTGCTGCGATTTTACAATCGCTGCGGACGTGCGAATAAATTCGCATGGTGTGTCCCCCGCTTTAGATGTTTACATTTTTGTATTAATATTTATTACGAAGGGACACTAACAACAATGTGACATGAATGTTCGCATGACAAAAAACGCAACAGAGTAAAAACAGGTTTCAGTGCCACAAGAAATGGCAAATTTCACACAAATTTTAGTCACACAAAAACTAAAATGTTGAAAGGCACACCAGCAATGAACAGATCAGGTTCAACTTTGTAGGTTGTGAAGACAGCACTAAGCTGTGACATATATACTGTTACTTCTCACAGTATTGTTTCTGTGTAAGGTATCATATTATGATATGTTGGTTTAGTAATTCTTCCCACATTGCTCTATGTACACTTGCCTTCACTTGTAGCATTTGGTGTTCCTATGGTAGGGGCTCCCTCTTTTGCCTTCAGCTTCGCCTCTACTTGCAGTTTTCTCAAATCGTTCACCTGTAACAAATATAACCCCACAGGCATAAGAGACTTAACATAAATAATAAACCTTAGTGTGCACCATCAAGGCATCCTTCTTTTAAAAAACAGATTTGATTAACAAGTCACCGTGAATTAAATATAAATATTGAAACACTCTAAAGCTACAGTGTACATTACGTGGATGGTTCTATTCCATTTTTCACACAGCTTTCTAATGAATTTTCCTGGCAGTTATTACGCTCACTTTCTTCTCCAGATCATCCCATGAAGCCTTGGACCTTGCATAAAGGCGCAGCAGGGTGAGACAAATCTCCTGAATGTCTTTCTCCTCTACTGGGGTGAACAAAGAAAACCAAGGCGGTCTGCTCGGCAAAACGACCTAAGAATAACGTTTGCAGAAAAATGTTAGACGACCTTATCTAGGAATATGGCGTATATGCCAATGACATATTCCTTACACATATAGCTTACAGGAAATTGTGATATATTTATTGTAGCACCGACTAGTAATACTGTCAGCGTTAAACTTCACAGTTTCGAAACACATATCATACAGCTGATTTTGCAGGAACATTAGTAGCTGATCACGCGTTACAAAGCGAGGACGCCCTCGCACGGATGCCCACACGCATGGCAACGACAATCGGCGACATGGGAAGGAGTCGCACCTTCAGCTGTCGTGCGGCGAGGTATATGCACGCGCACGCGATCGTCTCGGGACTGTATCGAACGAACACGTCCGTGCGCAGGCTGTCGTTCATGTAATTCCAGGCCGTCTGGATGAGCTTTGCATTCCGCTCGGATTTGAGCACCTGCAGGTAGGTGACGATCATCTTGTGCGGATGCTTGACGTGCACGCAGAAGCCTAGCTCCTTCAGCACTCGCCGCTCGGCCTTGATCACCTGCGGTAGCAGATTGACGACGACAAGATTAAGCAAAATCAGCAGACAACATCATTAAAAAATGAAATGCGAACAGTTGATTATTAATCACACCGCAGACGACTCCATTAAAAAGTGATCGTGAAGAATCGATAATTAACACGTTCAACGCGAAACACGAGTATACTCGTTCAAACCTGCAAAACGCACGGCCGCGAAACACGAGTATACTCGTGGCAAAAAAAACGGGTTCTTTTTTTTTTGGAACGTTTACTATGTTCTCCTATAGATGGGACACCTCCTGTACACTTAGAAATTCAACAGCGTAACTCTATAAACCCCAGTAGTAGATGACATAATTTATACAATACTTTACTGTTGTTTGGAAAGTTATTTTGGGAGTTTTTGGGACTGAGGTAATGCTTTTGGTTCACCTCGCCAAAGCGCGTTTGACTGCCGGTTGTTGTGAAGTTGTTTTGATGTCTGAGAGTTGTGTTTGATTTGATTGATCACGGGTGTTGTTTTGATGTCTGAGAGTAAGTTTATATCTATATTATACTAGCCACTAATTATAAATAATTTTATAGCTAGTTAAACCTGCCAAAAACATTTTGTGTAATAAGTGACTAAGCGGGGAAAACGCGAAAATCTCAGCACAGGGCGGTATGCGCATTGTTAACCATGCAGCGTTGAACGTGTTAAGCAAATCAGCAGACAACTCCGGTTGAACGGGAACGACGCATTCGGAAATCGACACACGCCGGCTCGCGTTTCGGCGAACACCAACCAGCCATTCCAGCCCCCGCTTAGTGCACTAACTAGTATTCTGCTCTAAACCACAGAACGGGTGAATGGAAGCACTCACCTGGTTCTTCAGGTTGACGTAGTTCTGATCGAGGATGAGCGGAGAGATGGGCTTCGAGCCGCGTATCTGTTTGATGTGGTGAAACACGTTGATAACGTCGCGCACCCTACGCGGCGCCTCCTCGATCTTTGATGCAAGGTTGAGGCATCCCATCGCGTAGTGCTCCATGTTGTGCTTCACAAACGACTTTGCATAATAGAAGCGCTGGAACAGCACCTGCCCGGTCGCCATGGCGACTTGCGGCAGCTTCAGCAATATGCCGGCGGTCTGGATAAGTTCGCAACCGAGGATCCGCAATTCCATCTCTGTCGCGGAGTCGAGTCCGTCCTGGGCAGATGGCGTGCACTCGATTTTTTCTGGGGGCACGAGGCTATTCTCCAGCGTTATGATGATGTGCCCATACTTCCGTTCTGTGACAGCATTAGTTGGTTTCTCTGACAGCGCCATCTTGTCATATATTTGGCTCACACTTATAAACTGAGAATAATCTAATCCAATGCTACGAACCATGCAGCAAGTTTCCTATAATTTAGCATGTGATTGAAATCATAATTTGCTAAACCTGGTGGTGTATATTCGTAGTTTCAAGAACTAACGAGTTAATATCCTACATGACTCCACAGAAAATCAATATAATTGTTAATAAATCTCTTCTAGGAAAAATGACAAGTACAACATTACATGGTTCAATGCCTTGACGATCAGGGTATGATCAAACCAACACTTCTCCAACTTTGAAACAGTATCTGGGTGTGTGTAGTCAAGGTTATCAAACAAGTGACTTCTCATAACATACTGTTCATAGAAGAGCGAACGGAAATCGTAAACCCACTGCAGCAGTTCTGCTGGTGATGGCACTGTTGCAGATGCCTGAGCAAACTCCTGAATGGACAAGTCTAATGAATTCTGCACAGATTCAATGGCATCTGCTTCCTTGGATATCCTCTTCTGTATCTTGTGCAAGGATAGCAGGACAGATTGCAATGTCAGTGTGTAGGTTTCAGCCTCAAGTGTTACTTTAGCTGCCAACCTGTCCTTGAGATCTGGAAACTCTTGCAACAGTGTACACGAGGATGGCGTCACCACAGAAACAGTCGACAACTGTTCACAGATGTTCACAAGACGTTCGAACGGCATGCGTGCACTCTCAGAATGTGATTTCCAAGCAACTGTTTCAGACTGCAAAAGCTTGAAGAACTTCTGAAGTTGGACGTACAGAGTACTGACCGACTCAGGCATTTATGACTTCTTATTTTGCGTAGCACTCTCGCCTAATTGGTTGTGTCTCCAAACTCTGCGTAATCCAGGTTTAAACCAAAGTATGCCAACATGTTCTTCGTGTACATTGGCAAGAATGCATATGTAGTATAAAGACCCATGCTAAATAACGATACAACCACGGTATTGAACAGAACACGCTCCCATGGTTCTAACATATACAGAGCCGTGTTCAAAAGGTACTGCAGGTAAACCCATGACACAAAACTGGACAGCCTGGAATAATACCCTTGTTGGTAACGGGTAGGACTGTTTTCTGAATCGGCCATGCCAGCAATGTAGAATCAGTACCTTGTATTTGTATTCCAATGGTGCCACATATGCTCTGAAATGCAATCGTAATGTACTTGTTAGTGTGTGAACCAAGAACCACACATATATCAGTCAGTTCAGTCTTATCAAATATACTGGTCAGTGATGGATATCACATCAGTTATAGTTACTGTGGTATGCTCATTAAGGCCAAAACAAAATATAGGTGTGGTTACGTTTTCCCGACCGACCCTATTTATTCCCAGCGACCCTAAACATTTTAATTGTCAATTTTCTTTAAAGTAAAAAAAAATAAAATAAAAATGAATTGGTCAGTTCCTGCTTCAAAAGGCACAACGCACATCCTTCGGACATGGTTCGTAAATAAAATATTTCAAGAAAATAAAATGTTTTCCCTACCTACCTATCCTATTTTTTTCGGCATGTAACGGTAACCACACATATATTTTGTTTTGGCCTAATGCAGATATTGATTTCACCTTTGTAATTTACTTATCAACCAAACCAAACATTTAGTAGCCAGTTCAATGTGTAATAACTGATTCAGTCTGTATCAACATGAGAATGCAAGGGAAAAAATGCTTCAGGCACTGACTCTTGATATGACTGAACTTTTGGCAGGAAAGAAATATATGTCAACAAGTGTTATCAAAACCATAACTTAAGTTTACTTGCCACTTGATTCTACAGTACACTCACAATCAATACCACGGAATTAACCAATACCACCAGTTAAACAAGTGCCGCAGTGCGACAGGGCTCATCTGGTGTCTGGTGTTCTGCTGATAAATTCATTTGTGCATAGCAAGACGTCTTATACATGTATAAGTCTTCTTTATTCTTGTTTGACTTTCGTAGCCAATTCGAACAAATATACCGCTGAAACAAAAAAGTTTTTCAATCGCTCCGTCCGACCATGTCCTCAGAAAATGTCTAAAATTTGCCCTGTGCCCAATTGACCTTTGACCTGTGACCTCTTTTTTCGTGAATTTTTTCTTTCTCCACCAAAAAGTGTTGCTAGTTGTAAGCTATTGGAGTACCCTGAAATGGCTCTAGATTGCATCTCAGAGCTTACAATTTTCAAAAATGTTCTGGCCCCCAGACCCCCATAGAAGTCCCCGATGTGTACCAGACTACCAGTCTGTCTCTCTGCTGTCAAAGTGGAAAGTCGTAGTTACCAAGGAGCTACATATAACAACGATGTGGCGTTTCCTTAATTGTGAGCCCCCGGCAACGAAGAATAAACAGTCATCCGACGAAAGGAAGGAAAAACAGAGGGATTATGATTATGGACATTGATAATGACTAATAAACATAAGGAAGAACATGATATGCTGTTTTATTACTGTAATTTGCTCCAAAATTGGCGGGCCTGCAGCTTTTAGAAGTTATAGGCCCTGCAGGCCTACAGCTTTTTCTGCTCGGTGGCAAACACTGGTCTATAGTACTAGTAGTAGTAGAACTTGAAGTCAATGACAATAGAAAATCAGGGTACACGTTGTTACCTAATAACCCCGTAAGTAATGATAGTCTTCAAAGTCCACGGGATAACGAAGATGGAGAATCCGGGAAAGACGTTGCTAAGCCATTTTTGGGAAAACGTTACATGCGTAACACGGACTCACTTTTGATGTAGATAGAGTGCAAAACGACAGTCATCTACACTATGTTAGTATATTCGCATCTGTAGTGTAACGTCATAAACTGATTCATACTACTACTAGTGTTACACAATTAGTCGGCCATCTAGAGCCTGCTACTGGTACTACTAGTAATAGTACTACTAGTACTACTAGTAATAGTACTACTACTAGTACTACTCGTAATAGTACTACTACTATTACCACAGGCACTTGAAGCATTTCAATAAAATATAATGCTAACTAAATACGAAATCTATTTACTACAAAATTCTTAATGTTTCTATAGGCCTACTCTCTTTCACCTATTATTGCTGATAGTTTCCTACCATTGCATTACCGGCTGCCATTGCTCTAGCGACGCGACTGTTGCACGCTTACACTAATATATAGAGCAGGTAAGAAAGCGCAATCCCAAAATTCGCACGACGCTCGCTGCATTTCACACGATTTCAACACAAATACACATCCAACAGCTTCCATCTTTGTTTCTCCTTCAAGAACAGTGTTCACTTGTTATAAAAACATAATGTTGCTAACAACGCTGCTTTCCGCTTCCCAAAATGCAGTGCGCCGCCTTTAGCCATGTACTTAAGTTTGTAACATCCAGTGCGCAGTGCTAGCGAACGCGAGAATTTCGTCGGTCTTTGTGTGATTTCGCGTGACACAGCTCGGTTACGAACAGAGACATTATGTTTTTATAACAAGTGAACACTGTTCTTGAAGGAGAAACAAAGATGGAAGCTGTTGGATGTGTATTTGTGTTGAAATCGTGTGAAATGCAGCGACCGTCGTGCGAATTTTGGGATCGCGCTTTCTTACCTGCTCTATATTAGTGTAAGCGTGCAACAGTCGCGCCGCGAGAGCAATGGCAGCCGGTAATGCAATGCCAATGGTAGGAAACTATCGGCAATAATAGGTGAAAGAGAGTAGGCCTATAGAAACATTAAGAATTTTGTAGTAAATAGATTTCGTATTTAGGGCGCAAATCCACTTTAGGCACCTTAGGTATCACGAAGTGATGCACAGATTTCTGTGTATCATCAACTGATGCACAGACTTTCCGTATATCAAGGAATGATGCAAAATCCCTATTAGTAATAGGACGTTAAAAAATAACGTAAATAGGACGTAGGTAAATCCCTATTAGTAATAGGTAGTTAGTATTACCCTAACTCTAACCCTAACAGTAACACCATTCGTGATACCTAAGGTTATACTTTATGACTTAGGGTTAGGGTTAGGGTTAGGGTTTTTGCATCATTCCTTGATATACGGAGTCTGTGCATCAGTTCATCACTTCGTGATACCTAAGGTGCCTAAAGTGGATTTGCACCGCGCACAGTGACAGTGTCAGTGGCACACGCCATTTGATTTGACAACACACTTACCTTGCATTTTACTACCTACACATATAACGCCGAATTAAATACTCACTTATCGACCGCCTGCTTGCTTCAGGGTAATGCCAGAATCTAATTTAAAACACATAGAGGGGAAAGGTATGAAGATAACGCAGAAATCACACTAAAACTTAAATTTTTTCTATCGTAAACGCGGCCATTTTGCGATAGTGGCGCCTCTACAACTTCATCGTCATCGTCGTCGTCCACGCATAAAACAATATGTGATTTATGTGTTTTACGTTATTTTATGAATGTTTTTCTTATGTTACGCATACACATATTTTTATTATACATACATATTGACTACTTTGCTATATTAATTTGACCTTTTTTTAAATACACTCCTAATTGTATTACAATCAAGATTCTAGAGCCCTACCAAAGATAGCTCTAGTACTATAGCCCGCTTACATTAACTGCCGCTGGCCATGCCGCTGCCGCTGGCCTGCCGCTGGCCATACATTAAATGCCAGCGGCAGTTAATGTAAGTGGCTATAGTACTAGAGCTATACCAAAGATAAATACACAAAATGCATTACACGAGATTTTGGTCCTTGAGACATTTGGGCACTTTTTATAACAGCAGCAGCAGCAGCACCATAAGCAGCAGCACTTTGAACAATCAGATTACTATCTTTGCAAATTGTATTTAATTTTACACTTTATATTTTGGCATAGCAGCAGGAATTTTTAAAATCAGAAATGAATATAGTCTTGACAAGATTAGAATCTTTACACATTTTTTACACAAATTATTCATTTGTTCTACAATTTGATGCACTAGTAACTCCGCTGCCTCCAACGTTTCAACTTTTTCAATTAGACGTTTTAATATTATGCGTAAAACTATTATTATACCGGTATATATATATGTATATCGGTGTGTGTGTGTGTGTGTGTGTGTGTGTGTGTGTGTGTGTGTGTGTGTGTGTGTGCGAGTTGCCCTATGGCTGTGGTAGTAGAGAGT